ATCTCGGTAAATCAAAGTCAAGGACAAGCACGCATCGACTACGGAATCCCATTCCATTTATTTTTACACGATGCTGCCGCATTCTTGAGGCGTCTTGTTCCACGTGAGGCGGAATGGATATACCTCGAAAACGCTCCTTCTTATGTCCCTTCGGAGGTGGAAAAGGTAACCGCGTCATTTTTCATCCGATTATATATGAGCTTCTCTCTGTACTATCCTCAGTCGTGGAGCCAACTCGAAAGACATCTCGTGCGCGTCGCTTTCGTCAGTCCTAATGGGACGACAGACGAACGAATGGAGCATGGAACCTATGGAACATCTTCACCTTCGGGGATCATAAAAGGAGTGAGCCAAAGTTGATAAATATACTTCCACTCCTGACATCCAAAGTCCTATTCGTCGGAAATAATGGGGAAAAGCGGTCGAAATTGAATTATTTCCGTATTCGTAAAGGAAGCAAAATACTGATGGGGTTCCAGACTTATTTCTCAATAGAAGTCATCAAATGCGGATCCCCTCCTTGACAGAAAACTTGAATGAAAATCTTTGTCAGTGGAAGGTGATGTACGACTCGACTTGGGACTCGAATTACTTCTGGTCTGCTCCAGCCTCCTCGTTAAATTTAAATCTAGAATTCCATTTAATTTCCTCAAGTCTTCGATCGATTCATGCACTGTCGCGTCACTTCACTCAAATATTCTCGAGCCGAGGAGAAAGTTCACATTTCCCCACTTTGCACTCGGGGTAACTCGTGACTCATCCACTGCACTTATGCAACTGGTATCAGTTCACTAGAACTAAATCACAAAGCATCCCTTCCTTCAACATTAGCGGCAGGTAATCCGTTTTGAATGGTCCCAGGTAAAGGCTGCCGTATGCAGATAAGAAAAGCAGCCTAGAATCCACTTCATTCTGGAGGTCTTGGATCTGATTTTTAACAGATACACGCAATCGCTGGTATGGAACGTGACGACTATTTCCTCTAGCAGTGAAATGTTAAATGTGAAATGACTAGGGAAGATGAAGCACGAGCGGAAGGGGGAAGAATCGCACGGAAGTCCCGTCATTCAGTTCCGGAGGGACAAGGGACGGAATGGAACGGAAAGGGACGGAAACGACTCCTGGAAGCTGAGCGAGAGAGAGAGAAAGACACGGGAGAGAATTCCAGTCTTGTTCATCAACATTCACTCAATGTTGATAATTGGTTGAAAATGTTGATGTTGGCGGTCCAGTGCACGGTCAACATTGACTCGATGCTTAAAGGAAAACAGGTCTCAGTATTGCTAGGAAATGGAAAACGTGCTGTGTTTCAGTTGCGCACTCAATGCCCTGTTAACTTCACGCGAACAGGATGTTCAGCGAGTCATTTAGCAGTTTTTCCAAGAAACAAGATTCCCACAACCGAAGTAAGATGGCGCCTAAATCGCCATTACAGAGAATTACTTGAAGACTCGATGCAATTGGAGCGAGTCGTCAGTCATTTTCATGCAATACTTCATACGGCATGTTCTATAGACAGGCCAAAGAGCGCTCGTTTAAAGCCTCCAAAGGGCCTCAAGGGAGCCCCCAAGGGGTCTCTGGTTTAGCTTCGCCCCGGGCCCCTGGAAACCTCTGGGCGGCCCTGGGTAGGAGGGTGGCCAGCTTCCACTCTGCATGCGGCTACATCTGCACTCACGTGTAACAACTACGTCACGACGGCGACGATAGGTGCCGGGCTTGGTGACGGTTTACGGACTCCCGTAGGACAAGGGGGAAAGGTAGAAGAGTCCATCCAAAAGCTTGATGGCTCGTTCCATATAGCTATTTGGAAAATGTCATCTCCGTTGGGGCCCCTTTCGAAAAGGAAAAGCCACTCGTAGAAATCGTGGAAGACGATAGGCTTCAAGGAGGATAGAAACCTCAAGGAGGACAGGAGCCCCAAGTGAGGCTAGGGTTGCCGAGTTTGCAAGTCGGGCAATGATTGCGTGGGACGTGCGTAAGGTGAGGATGTGGTCCCTGCCTGGTGCTGCCAATACCCTGATGGGTATTGGCAGCACCAGGACCAATATCCATCAGGAATGATAGGACTATAGCCTAGGAACAATTACCTGCCTGACCTGCAGGGAACTAACCTGTCAACTTGAATTGATACTGTAATTCCTAAGTTCTCCTAATCACAAACCTGACTTAAGAGACTCAGTGCAACTCAAATCGACTCATTCGCCCATCTTGAGGCTAATGATCCTAGAGTTACTCACGTTATGAAAATTGTACAACACAAGTATGCGATAAACCGGCCCAAAAAAAGTTCCGAACTTAGCACGCCTGCAGAAGGAATATCATATGAGCTATCGACAGGAAGTTTGCGGGGTTTCACATCCAATGTGTGCTGGTAATGTCACAAAAATTTCAATGAAATTGGTTGTTAAATTCCAGAGTAACAGTTTTTCTCCCGCGCGATATCAAAAGGGCGAGTGTGTAAAAATGTGCGACTGACCTAAATGAAGAGATGTTTGATCGGATCCCCCATTCTGGTCCACAACTGCTCGCAGACGCTGTTTCCATTGGTTGATTGAGTTTCTTGTGTTGTCATAGACAAGACGCCATAATTCCTAAATTCAAGCCTTCAGTTCAGCAAGTAATGTAAAAGGGAGTGTTGCATTCAGCATAAACTGGCTCCTTCAATTGTCCCATGTGCTGTAGTCGAGGGGGTTTAAGTCTGGAAAATAGGAAGGCCACTGATTTTCTCAAATGAAGTCAGGAGTGTTATTCTTTAATTTTTCATGCACACGTTTGGCACGATGTGAAGGAGCTCTTAAAGCTAAATATATTTGTATTTTTGTGATTTTTTTAAAGCATATTCTTGTTGCTTACTGCCTAATCCCTTACGTCAACATTACTCCCATTTTTCCTTGTCCATAAAATAAAATAGTTTCTTCTTAAAAATAGTCATGGAAGGGGCAGCCACTACGTCGTCATTTTGATAGCGTTCTGAATGTTTGGAGCACTACATCTGCTATACTGCATGTTCCATTGTAATCACGGATATAGGTTTCTATTCAATCTTGCATGCTGTACAGAACTTTTTTTTTCTGGACGGCGTGCAGCATCCAGCTGCTGTACGGCAATTTTATTGATGCATAGCAGAATTGCAGTCCGGCAACTGCACGAGCTGGATTTGAGATTTTTTTCGGACAGCGTGAGTTTTAGCGTCTAGCATTCTGCATAGCACGAGCATGAACTCGACTTCGGAGGAGTAGGCCTTCGTTAAATTGAGCGCAGGATCTCGACTCGGTTTGTGAATGCGGGCAGAAATGCTTGTTAGCCTGTGTGCTTGGAAGTGCGCCTGAAACCTCGAAGAAGGGAAGCCTTCCCACTCGAACTTGGAACCTCGAAGGAGGAAGCCTTTCCATTTGGATGGATTTAGGTCCCATCGCTCGATGCCTTTCGTGGCAATTGGAATGCGCATCGCAGGAATAGGGAACTCCACGACGTTGGGAATTCCAGAGCGATCCGAAACTTCATTTCGGCTTTCCCTAATGGATTGAAAATATGGAAAAGCAGATCAACAGGAGATCGCAGGATAGGATTCGAGCGAAGAATGTGGACAGAGTTCGTCCGCAAATCCCGGTAATGCTTGCTCGTCTACTCTGTGGTCGTTCTGAGAAAGATTTTCTAAATTGCAACGCCATCTCGCGAAATAAAGAGAAATGGTATTCGTGTGAGTGAAGCGAGAGAAGAGCGAGAGAGGAGTGCTGGAACCGAAGAGCGATGCGTCTGTGTGTGCGTCGAGCAAAACGGGAAAAAAACGTCTTGGAATGGGAGTAGGGGGTGAAAGGGGATCCCGCCGGATCGGGTTGTGTAAAGCGAACAAATTCTGCCTTATGTATCTTTGATACCCGAGACGAAGGGGAGGGGAAGACGAGACTGGAGTGAATGGGCGCGACGTCATCAAGGACGTCCCCCACCCCCCCTCCTCCTTCACTCTCTTCTCGATTTCGGGAGTGGGAAAGAGACGGAAGGAGATCTGAGACGAACGACCGCCGAGAACGTTGCGTCTATTATGAGCTCGCGGTGTGTGTATAAAGTCCGCGTCTCGCGTGCAATAATACTGGATGGCTTTCGAGCGGAGGCCGCGTCGTAAAAAGAAGCCTGGTGTTTCTCACTCGTCCTCCAACTAGACGATCGTAAACGATGGAATTCGAGGTGGAATTCTGTGGCAGCTCGTGATATTCAGCAGTAATGGATCGTCAATGGAAGCAGGGTAGGCCCGGGCCTACCCTAACCCCATTGAGAATACACTACCGCTGAATATCACGAGCCGCCCATGGGGGGATTCCATTCGTGCTCGGAGTCGGTGGGGGGACGGAGAGAGGGGAACTCTCGGGCGACGGGGAGAAGCGAACCGTCGGGCAATGGGTGACCGGTGGTCACGTCGCATTTTCGAGGTAAATATCGAGAGGGGACGAACGATTTTGAAGCGTGCACGGTGGCCCACCCCGTGGCGAAGCTCGTTACTCCCTTCCGAGGTTTTCTCGAGCGCATCGACGAGAACGCGAAACGTCCTCCGGCCGAATTTTTCGCAAGTACGTGTCAAATCTCGTCTTCAGTCGGACGGAAGAGGACGGTCGAGTCTTCGTCTTCGTCGAGGGGAAGAGATGGGGAAACGAAAGGCGAGAGAGAGAAACTCAGAATCTAGCATGCGCCCGACGCGTCCCTCTCGATGTTCTCTCGCTCTCCTTCGTCTGCATCCATCAGAGGACGCTCTTCCGACGGAGGAGCAACACGCAGTGGAATGCCTCCGATCCGCTCCGATCGCTTTACCTCTCGAGACGCACTTATATGCGCGAGATGATCGAAAAGAAGCACAGGGAGGGGAGTAACGTTAGCTGGAAACGAGAGAAGAGGGAAAGAAGGAGAAGAAGAAGGGAAAGGAAGAGATGGTGGTGTCGGATTCCCGGCCTGCCATCAGATCCCATCCCCGTAACGCGATCCCGATCCTTCAAATATTTGGCCACGTTTTCCTCCTGAAATTTCAGATCCCGTCCTTCCTGCAAGCCAGCCCCGGCCGAGTATATACGGCTCCACTCTCTTGTCTCTCCTCCGCCAGTCTCCCCTTCGCCATCGCCTTCTCACTTCCCACGTGCGACAGCCATGGAAGTGCGACGAAAGATTCTGCACGTGCGACGAAACGGCGACTCCGCCAAGACGCCCACCTTCGTCGCCGCCACCAAGAAGCGACCTGCCCCGAGAGTCGAGACCGACGGCGAAGGTAAAACGAAACGATTCCGTATCGTTCGTAAGCGTTGAAATCGTGGCGGTGCGAGATCGTTGTCGTTTGCCGCAGAGGACAAGCAGTCGTGTACGATGTGTTCGTGGTGCCAAAACCTCGGACCGAGGCAGTTCACGGTGCCTGAGGAAAAGGAATCCGCGGGTAAAGGCAAGGGCAAGGGGAAGGACTTCTGCTCGGAGCTCTGTTTCACTCAATATCGAAGGGCGACCTTCAAACGGAATCAGATTTGCGACTGGTGCAAAAACCCGGCCAATTCCATCGCTCACGTGGAATACTCCCCCACAGACACTCAGCTACAATTTTGCAGGTGAAAATTTTACGCCTGACTTTCATTGCGAGCAATCGATCCCTATTAAAAGTTTATACTTAAGCGACATGCGCTAAGAGCGCTATATACTGAAGTAGACTATTGTTGCAATTTATTCATATGGCTGTACTGAATTTATTTATTGAATTTTAAAAATAAGTTTTGATAATTTCATTACTTGTTGAAATTATGTATGTTATGAAATTATGTAAATTTGTTATATTCTAATATACAGGGTGATTCAAAAGTCACCTACATTTTTATTTTGTGCCTTATATGGTATGAATCGATTTGTCTGCTCCTCCTGATCAGTTTGGTATAATATTAGTGTGGGGCGAAAGATACTTCGGAAGAAACGACCGAAATAGAGTCATAATTAGCGGGACATTTCTTGACTCTTGGGTCACTCCACACCAAATCGACAAGAGGATGAGCTCAACCATCTTCGATTTTGACAAAAATCGGTATGCATGTAGAGGAATCGATTATAAGAAAATAAATTCCAGAGATTTTCTTTTTTATCTCGCTCCGATCTCGAGATATATGCATTTGAGTATCACCTATTTTTGGCTCCTGGCGCCTATATGGGCTGGAATTGTGAGACTATTTTTGCTATAGCTTCTCTTCTATTCGAGATAAAAGCTTCGTTATAGTGTCACTTTAATTGTGAAACTGCCGTCTTTAGATTTTTCTAAGACATTATTCTTCGAAGCTAAAACAAGAACTTCCACTTGATCAAACAGTTTGATTAAGTTCAGTGGAAGATATCTACACTTGCAATGGTTGGAACTCGTGGTTTCAATACTTGATTCCAAGTGGTTTTTTATGCCCTTTCTAACGATACCAAATTTGATATTAACACGCAATTGCCTAATAAGATATAATCATTTGACGGAAGGAACAGGGCACAGATGGCTACGCTTGGAACCAAGGGAATGTGCGCTCTTGTGCTGTACACTGTGGGCCAGTCCTTGATCGAGATTCGATATGATTTTATGACAGTTTGGATGGTATTTGAGCTGAAAATTCCCATGGGGAGGTTTTTCAATAACCATTGAATCTGACGGCTTCTGACGACTTTTAGTTGAATTTGGGCCATATTCCGAAAAGATTCGTGAAGGCTTTTGTCAGAATTGGAATATTTCTTGGTTTCTTAACTTGAAATTGTGGGTGGAGTCATGTTATCTGCCATTCAACCTGGGGCATTTCCCCCATCTGTAACGAAAAATCAGCGATTCCATCTATTGCGGAGGAAATTTGAGTTTTTCGTAAACAAAATTTCCTGGTTCAAATTTTTGGAAAATGGGTTTCCGTTCCGTTCCGCTTTCCATTGAGGGTATAGTATAGAGGTCAGTATAAAAGTCGGACTTGCGAAAGCGAACCGCGAGTGCGCGACTCGAAGAAAGCCTTGCACGAGATTCCCGATCTTCGTTTTTGCCTTTTTTACATCAGCGAGGAGTGCGTGAAGCAGTTGAAGATGAACGTGTTCTGCAAGGAGACCCAGGCTCACCTGAAGCTGATGAGGGAGACGCCGAAGGGAGGAACGGATTCGACCCCCTGTCACGATCGGATCCTGATCACGCCCGACCTATGGACTTCTCCTCGCGACCCAGATGGACGGGGCACTCCGACGGCCTCGGAGGCCGAGATGGGTTCAGGGGTGAGGAAGATTCGGCGACGGAGAAGGACTCCTTCGTCCGGTCGCCTCCCACCCGCGAGGGAACCCGAAGGGAGATCGTCCGGCTCGCGCGTCGCCTTCGATCTCATCGGGTCTTGCCTCCCTCCGGTCACCGTCTTGGTTCCCGTCCCGATCCCGATCCCGATCCCGATTCCGATTCCTCTGCCCATCCCGATCCCCATCCCGATCGAAGCGAAAGAGAATCCGATCGACCCGTGGGAACGTCGCTCGGGATCGGAATCGGATTCGCCGGGGTCGGGAAAGTGCAACGGTCTGGACCTGTCCGTGAAGAAGGAGAAGACTTGCTCCACCTGACTCCCTTTCGCGGATCTTCAGAAGTCTATCCATCCGAGTGTATTTCGGACTGCTCATCCGATAGTTGGAGCGATCCGTGCTCCATTGCGCAATGGCTCTCAGCTCGTGCAATCTAGTCATGTCATTAAACGGCCCTATAAGTACATGAATAGTAATTTTTTTTCTGGACAGAAAGAATTCTCTTTTGGTTGCGTCATCACCGTTTCGACAGCGATAATTTGTGGCGGTGAGTGAGGCTTGCAATTCTCAAGTACTCAAACAAGCAAGTCTCAACGCAAATGATGCGCATAGGGTGCATCTCATAGACGGCTGCTTCGTATTCTGACGGTCCTATGGGATTTCTTCAAGGATCATCACAGGTCGATCCCGGAAATGAGATGCAAGGTTATGCGGAGAAATGCGATCCTCATTCACCGTCTATCACTTCCTGCACCCCGAAAAAGAATCGTCGTCTCGCCACGACAGAGGCAACGATTCAAATTGGTCCTGCAATTCGAGAAGCTTGTCTCATCGTTTGACAAGGATGAATGGTGACGAAGCAGTGCATGAAGAATATCGGTTTACTACCAGGTGATCGAAACGGGAAATTTGGTAAGGAGAGCAAGATCAAAACAGACGGAGTACGGATTAACGTTAAGAGTAATCCATGTGTGAACGGCAGGAGTGGGGACGAGTGGGGACGGGTGGGGATGAGGGGGGACGGGTGGAGACGGGTGGAGACGGGTGGGGACGGGTGAGGACGTGTGGGGAGTCTATCAGCCCTTTAACCTCTCAGGCCTGCTCGGCCTGCAATTAGGTTCCGAATAAACTCGGTTATCCGCATCGGCCTGCAAATATAAATAGAAATAGAAATCGAAGATGTCGACCTATGTTCCTTGCAGTTTCGAAGACGAAAGGCCGTATGCCAGAACATAATTTAGAGTCCTTTAGGAAGAGCTTGGAACTAGTCAGAATTGAAAGAAGTCCAGCTAAATGTGTCGCTAGAACTGAACATGATAGCTATCTAAATGAGTCTCTTCAGCGCGATAATAAACGTGCAAACTTCAGTCGTGCAGTTACAAGAATCGCATTACAGCCGGATTTATATCCAGCTTGGGTCCTTGCGAGGAAAAGAAATCTCTTCCAAATCTCAAAACTTCTTTTCATTACCATTATACTTCCCCCGTAATGTGCATCGGCGAACTGTTGCGAACAAGTAAAACAGTGAGGATGCGACTTTCCAATTCGGCATACTTTAGACAGTTTTTCAACTCCTTCTGTTGCGTGTTGAAACGAAAATATCAGCTGTACTGGGCAACCAGGTCTCTCAACAGTTTCTACCCTCATAATCACTTGAATGTCTCTTAGAACCAACCTTCAGAGTAAGTCATTATTTTCCCCCTATGCTGTTGAATTAAAGTGCAAGTTCCCTGTTTCCAGGAGAAACAAGTCACGAAGAGAGAAATTGCTTTTTTTTTTAAGTGTCTAATGTACTGTCTCACTTACTCCACGAGTATCCACTAGGCCTGTTACCGGAAGCAAAACAGCAAAACAACTAATCTGCATTAAAATCGACCAGCATTATTCGGGAGGGGACGCGAAGAGGAATTTTTGTCCGCTATGATGGGGCGTCATAGCGGACAAAAATGACAAGTGTCAAGCTCGAGCAAAAGGAAGTTCCCATGCCGGGAATCGAACCCGGGCCTCCTGGGTGAAAGCCAGGTATCCTAGCCACTAGACCACATGGGATCACATTGTTATCGCTCCTTTATAGCTTATGGTGAAGCTTCAGAATTATTTCGAAATTTAGGGGTGGATTTTTGAACAGAGAACTATCCGATAATGCAGCTTTATTTACTGGATTTATAATCCATTTTCTCTGAAATAAAGCTGCATTTTCGGATAGTCGTTCTCTGTTCAAAAATCCACCCTAAGGAGCTGATTGTTAAAGTCCAAATGGCAATGACCATGAACTCGTCTTCTCATACCTCATCGCCAGTAGAGTCAGTAAACCCAGTTCAATCCACTTCAGTTTTTGGCTGAATTGTTGGAGTTTTCAAAATGTTCACAAGCGCACCGATCTGCAAAGTGACACCCTGTCAGTACGACGGAGAAACAGAATACTCATCTCGACCATATTCATTGACATCGAGTCGAAATCCGAAAAAGCTTGCGCATAACAGTGGTTCGCCGATGCCCATTATAGACGAAGTCGAAGGCCAATAAATATAACTGAGACTTGAAAGATATTTCCTCGCCTCACAAGGAAAGAGCGGGTTATGTACCAGGCAGTGAGAGCATCAACACAGCAGTGGCTAACTTTTTTTTAAAGCGTAGAAGGATCCCTGATTTTGAATGCTTTCATACAAATGGAGTTGATGTATCCATAGTGAGACATCGGCTTCGGTGTCTTACCCCCCGAGTGCTAGGCTTTTTAATCTGCTTATCCTCTTATCTGCTAGGCTTTGTAATACAATGTTCTTCGAATGAGGTGATTGAGTTCGTCGGCGGATCTCTCAAAAGGACAAGGGCATCGTATTCCAAAGAGCAAGTCTTTTCGGCTATTAGTATGTTATGCCCCCGTGCTTGGAGACGTGTAATGCCTTATTGACGACAGGATTGCCAAACCGTAATTTCACTCCAGTCTAGCTCAAAACGCTCCCAGTTTCTTCTAGAAACACCTTTAGCTGAACTTCTTTCAAATCCAACTAGATTTAAGAAGGATTTAATGTTAGGTTTCCGAATATGGCCTGCGCTGATATGAAGCAAATAAACTCCCGTTTTCAGGAGTGGATCTCGGTAGCGTGTCCACCATAGGTGGCGATGGGGCGGGCGCCCTCCTGGCGTCCCTGGGACAGAGCTGGGCGCTCCCTTAGGGATACTATTTTTCTCCTTTGATATCGCTCGGGTGGGGTTTAGTGACCTCGCTCTGTTGCCTGTTTTCCCTGGCTCTTTAGCCAAAATACGCCACTGCCTACCTATGATGCCAACGTACCTTGGTGCCTGCCAGCAACCGCTAGAATGTCTTCATGCACTTTCGCTTAAATTGGAGAGCTGTCTTCATCCGAAGTCGTATTGCATAATGCATATCGACGTAGTTGGCAAGGATGGAAGTGTGATCCAATATTTTCAACACAATTATGATATTCGCTAATGGCGTCGGATGCGATTCTGTTTCGGTGAAATTCTGAAAGTTGGAAGTGGATAAAGTGATCTGACTGATACTTTTCTCTTCGGACCAGATGCGTCTCTATTCTTCCTCTACTGTAGTGTTCGATGGAAGTATCAATTTCCGCGTCGCCTGCAAATGATATCGACTCGATATAACTGCCAACATGGGAAGTTTTCTCGTTCAGTCTTTTATTTGCTACCTGTCACTTCAAGAACTGCGACTCATCAAGCAACAAAACCGACCTAAACACATCCTTTGTGCTTCACCTTCGCATTAATACTACGATGGATTCTGGTTATTATGATCATGAGTCTGTCTCCCCTGATTTTTCGTCCACGAGCCGCCACCGATGCAGACAGATGGAAGTCACGGGAACTTAACTGGAAGTCTTGAGGATAGAGGGGGCTAAGCAAAATTCCTGTTGTAGTTTTAAAAAACAGTGACTGTGCTCCACTTGAAATACGGAGCTCCGTTTTTCACGAAGGAGAATGACTCCTCATGTCAATCATTTAAGCCGAATTAGTGTTTTTGAATACTGGGATTAGAAAAAAAAAAACTGGCGAATCGAGATCGATCGAACCTCGGTCTGCATCGAAGATGAGGAAATTATAGAGGAAGCGAGGTCGAGGTCGAGAGGTAGTGGTCACCATTCACAAGTGTTTGTGATGTTTGTGAGAGGGAGTGTCGATGGATTGGCAATCAGAGAATGTCGTACCGATCTTCAACCCTTTGATGAGACCCGGGTATCAAAGACTCATCGCTGAGAAAAATATCACCTTTGAACTTCTATCAGATAAGTGGACTTGTGGTCTCAAAGGGTTAAGAAGGGGGATGGGAGGAATCCGGGGTATTACTCAGTCATTCTTGTAACGATTTCGGGAAAGACAATGGAAAGCACAAATGATACCCTACGTCGTCAACTATTTCTCGAGAAGAACTCGCTCATACGGGAAAATCAGCACGGCTTTAGCAGGTGACTTTCTTGTCACCAAAATGCTGGAACCATAAGACTGAGAGACGGATTTTATGCATACCTTGCTCCTCTATTCTGCCAGATACATTTTTTGAAAGTATCGGGTGACCCGTTCAAAACAGCATGTTCTTCCTGCTATCGATGCAACAGACAGAGACGAACTCATTTTGCGCTGAACAACCGAACGGTTCGTTACTCCAAATACACGTGCACGCAATTTCTTTTCCAAAATTAATCCGGTTCGGTTGCCATTAGAGTCGCAACGACGTGTGTCCCAAACAGCGCCTCGGAAAATCTCGAATCTACGTTGAGCAGGTGGTTTAATGTCCTGATTAACTGCTTCCTAGAGGTAATGGTTCAGTTCAGTCACTGTCAGACAGCCGTGAAATCGTGTTGAACCTTTAAGGTCGCGTATATGCATCTTGAAATTTCCTCCAAGTGTTAGGAAATATTAAGAACAGGAGCTCAGGAAACTCGGTAATAGTCGTTTGGTTCCGTTTATGTCCGCAAGCTGCGTTTTCCCCAAAAGTATTCAACACTTAAAGAGTTAAGCGCAGATGTTAGTGATTAGTGATAAACCTTTTCGCTCCCAAGCAGAATTGTATCCCATTCGGAAGATCCAATATATCGGCACCTAGGGATTCTAAATAAGGTGTGCTGGGACACAAATCTTCCAGTTTCTGGGCTTGGAATGGCAGAAAGCTACTCGGTTTTGCAGTGGTGCAAAATGGCTATCTGGATGGACACGTTTGGTTCAGTGACTCTTCCGCAGCGTGAACTCAGAAGGCATTTACAAGTTCGCGACGCTCCTGATCCCAAAACCATAAGAAAAACACACACAGTACCGGTACATATTTAGAAACTGGGGGACTTGAG